TACCAGCCAATGGTGTACAGTTTGCCTTCACAGACAGTCACTGCCCTTACCTTGTTGAAGCTCGGCGATCTAGACAAATCAAACCAGGCTTCTTTCGTCGGAATGTAACAAGAAGCGGATCCATTTTCGTTCAATAACACAATACCCTCCGTGACACCTCGTGCGTCAAGTTCTGCTGTGACCCGACCTTCGCAGACGTGATTTCGCGTGACGAACGCGTCACGGTCAATGACTTCCGTGATGAATTGGAGTGACATGGCCGACAAGCGAAGATGGCTGAAAAGTTCCGGGAAGCAATGCTGTCTTGTTTCAGGATCATGCTGTACCCATGACCTTATTCCGTCGAAAACTTCCTTTTCGTTTCTTTGCATTTTAACATCAAGTCTTTCGCTACAAATTAGCTCTGTTACATCCTCGAAATCCGAAGACAAAAACTCCTCTGTTTTCCAAATGTCTCCAAGATGGTTGCAAATATATTCCGAAGCGGCTTCATGTAATGATTGGCAGTATCTCTCGGCAAAGATCTGAATCGCCAAGCAGTTTGAAGGCTTCAGATTGATCAGCAAAAACTCAGCACAAGCCTCTCTCAGGCTCAGAATATCGTAAAAATCGGCGACAACGAACAGTTTCTTGGCATTCTCTTCGGAAATTTCAACCTCCCCGGTGTAAACATAGTTCAAAAGTTCCTCGATGCTTTCAATGTCTGGAAGAAACGCCGGTATATCAACTGGGAATTCGTTGCCCGATTTTCCTCCCGGCAACTCGCTCGTAAAAGAAGCTTTGAAGTAAGGACTGCTCGCAGCGAGTACAACTTTGTGAGCGGGTAGTCGAGAATTGTCGACAACGAGAAACACATCGCAAAATGTTTGAGACTTTCGAAACGAATTCAATGTGTGAAGCATCTTCTGTTGCTGTCGATGTTTTCTTTGCGAATCCATAGCTGTGGGCGGTGAGGTTTTCGAAATTCGCCGAAACACGTCGAACGCGATCGATGTCATCAATCTTTAATGTTTTCCACTTCCCGGAAGCATTCTCGTTCCCAGGTCTACTCGTTTTAACGGACGTTACACTAGCCGCCAAATTAGCCAACATTGAGTCAGCGGTAGAGCCAGTGAAGTTCTCGCATATTTTATTCACATTTTTGAGTTTCTATACTGCGGAAGACTTTTCATAATTTTCATCTGTTGTTTCTTTGCGTGTTTTGGTCGTAACAAGCGAAATGGTCAACTTTCATCTAACATGTTGGGCAATTTACCAAAGCCACAATGTTAATTCTTTTAGGCCAAAGGCGCCATATGCTCTTTGTTGAAAACATTGTTATGTAAATCAGGCCATAGTTAACTATTTTCACGAATGTCAATTTGAAGTGTCGGCTGACATTGGCGATCCATAATAGCGCTTTATTTTCAGAATTAAACAGGAGCTACGTCACGGTTTGCGTATTTTGAATAGTTTAGCCTAAATTTTTCAAGTTCGTCGTTTGTAATTCGTTTTAATCTTCTCCATTGTTCCTTTATGATTTATTATTATCTCTGCTGTTTTTCTATCCTAGTAAGCTATTATTTTCAGGCTTTCTTCAATTTAAAGGAAATTTTGTACGTGGTCAAGAAAATTTGAACTCTTCTTTAAGCCGCGTTTTTCAATCGTGTTTCACTTGAACTCGAGAGGTTGTCCTAGCAGCGTTTGAAGTCGCTGTTGTTGCACTGTATTTTCTCTGTTGTTGCACTGTACTTTTAGGTACACGGTAAAGGCCATCGTTGTGGCGACGATTGCTACGAAATACTGTTAGTTCTTTCTCGACGATCGCAGAATGATCGCCATGATAAATATTCCAGGATGCAATGCGTCGTTCGATCCAGGTCCTCTCGTTCTCGTTTTCATTCTTCATCGTTCGGGACGAAAATGTGGAAAGCGGTCGGTGAGCGAAGTCGTGAGGATCATTTAACTATATTCACAAGTAGCAGGCCATATCTATTTAACAATTAGATTACGAGCTCGAGATTTCTATCGCCGGATATATCGCGGATAGAAATCAAGAGAGAATAATCAAATTGATTTAGTATAAATCTACTAGTTGTTCAAAATTCTTAATCTACTTCACTGAAATTTCGAAAAGGTAAAGAACCGGCCGCCAGTTTATTAACAACCGCACACTGCTAGGCTTCTCACTATCTTCAACAGAATAGATAGTGAGTAGCGTAGCCAATCACAGAGCGGCATTCGTGATAGAACGCTAGTAGATTTAAACTAATTTGACTTAGTGTCTAAATCAAATTTAGTTGCATTTTTGTCATTTAATATCCTGGTCTCAGAGCTTTCCTCCGTTTTTGTTTTCTCTTTATCAAATTTAACTCGCGATTCCGCTGTTGTTGTTGTTTTTTCCTCTCACTCACGCTCTCTTAAATAGAAGAAAGAATATAAAACACTTTCTTGGTCTCTCACAGTTAGCTCACACGGTGGATCTTCATCTTTTCCTTGGTCGACCGCTCAAACTGGCAGGGAAAGACTCGCAGGCTCAAGATGATGGGCTCATTGGCGCGGTTCCTCAGCTACTCGTGGATGAGGAACAGAACTTTCTCAAGAGAGCACATGATCAGTCACATGACCTGGTAAGTCAAATTAACAATGATTATTGCATGATTGTGCGCTGTTTATGAGATGGTAGATAACAAACGAGGCGCGTCCAATCTGGAACTACTCTAACAGCGTTGCTAGAAAACTTACCGCTTGGTTGGGTCCTAACGGTTATCGCGTCCACCTCATGGACGAAATGAAAGCGAGGCTGAATAGAAACTGAGAAAGCTGAATGGAAACGAGACTGAATAGAACCCGATTGGCTCAGGTAAGAGTAGTGAAAAAATGTAAATATGCGAGGTACGCCATTGCCTGTGGTGGGATGAAATCCAGTTGAGTTGAAAATATTTTAGTCTGCACTTTAGTTACAGAAACCTGTTGCGTGGTTCAAGTTTGTCAATAATTAACTGTTTTAAAGTGTTACACTTTGCGGTAAATAAAGTTCAGTGGAATCCCGTTAATCCAAAACATCTGGCCGTATCAACGGGGTGGCCGTGTTAAAGGGGTTCTTTAAACAAGAAAGTGACTGACTGAGCTCTTGTTAGGACCAGAATAAAGTGGCCGTAATAACGAGGTGGCCGTATTAAAGGAGACCTTTAAATAAGGAAGTGACTGACTGAGCTTTTGTTCGGGCCATAATAAAGTAGCCGTAATAACGAGGCAGCCGTATTAACGGGGTGGCCGTAAGGCAAGGTTCCACTGCAGTTTTTTTGTGTGTTTTTATTTGTCTTTTTTGTTTGGACACATGCTAAGAATACGGGCGTGTCCACCCTTGTGGACACTCTTTCGTCCACTCTTTCGTCCGTATGCCGCAGTTTCTTGGACACTAAATTTAAGACTGATCTCCTCAGACTGGTCAGCAACTTGAAGCTTAACAGGTTCATTGTTTTGGTACATGCTGTCTTCATGCAGATTTCTCTTCGTCAAGTGGCGGCCAACGGATACAAACAATACATAAAATCCAGGCCAAGTGCTTCCTCGGAATCTGTCAAGCGATCCAAGCAAATCGACACAGCTACTCTCCCAGTTCATCCACTGTTCAGTAAGTGTAGTCTCCTGTTCGCTCTGGTTTGAAAGCCGTAGTCAGGCTATTTTGTCGTAGTCATGGCGGAGTCTTTTCAACGGGAAATCGAGCTTCTACTGCTTAATTAACTGACTTGACGAAGAAGCCATGCCCTATTTCCGCCATTTCAGGGTTCGCTTTCGATTTACTATCCCATCTTCTCTTAAATAAGGAAACGAAATGTGTTCCATAAAACGTGATGATTCGATTTAGCGCTCTCCTTGCAATAAACCTCTTTCCAAAAAAGCGCGCCCCCATTTAATGTAGTTTTGTTAATAAGAGCCACTATTATGTAAACCTCCCTCGCGCTATCAGAGGTTATTAAGATCCTCCGTTCGTGGATCGATTGTCCTCCCTCTGCGCGGCTTGCATCATACCCGCATTACAAAAAAATAACTGTCTTGATCGTTATATCCATGTGAGAGCACAATTCGTTCAAAACAAAAATTCCTTTTCGTTTCGAACACTTGGGTGTAATGTAAAATAAGAAATAAGCTCACTTCTTTATTAATAAATGCTCAGTTTTCCTTCAGCTCCGGCTCAAAATAAGATAACGCTCTGGACGTCATATCGAATCATTACGGCATGGCAATTTCAATTTTCTGATTAAATTACGTCGATTTTCAATTTTCCCTATGTAGAATCTGGTGTTACATCTTCCAATGTGGCTTCTACTTCAAGAGTCGATATTTTGGACGGTGTGAGGAATTTCAGGCCGAGACAGGTAATTCCTAAACACAGTTAAAGGACTTTTTTCTACATTTTAAGGTGACCATTGACCCTTGGAAACAAGAAGAAGCGTTATGTCTGTTTTACTTCGTCAAAATTCTACCCTCGTGGTCACAAACATTAAGTTCCCGACTTTCAAAACGCAGACACCTCCCATAAGCCTACACTCTGAGAAACTCAAGCACAAGAGAGTCCGCTGAAAAAAATGTGTTTACAACAAGTAAGCTTTGCGTACAATGAAAAAAAAAATGAGCCTTCGGTTCTTATGAGAGTAGCTCACTGTGTGTACGTATGAAGGTAATGAAACTACTCAGTGTTGCTAGAGCCGTTTCCAGTTGAGTGTCTTAGAACCAAAACCAAAGTATTCACTCTCACCTATCACAAAGTACACAGACAATACAGTGAACCAATCCAAACCCAAAGCAAATACATGTAGCTGACGCAAAGAGCGTGAAAAACGTGTGCAAACGCGCCACGATTAGTTTTAGTTTTACGTCTGATTGGATGAGAAAGTGGGGCGAGTTTTTCAAGCCAATCGCTTCGCGTGCTGATGCGAAACCAAGCGAAAACGAGTCCGTTTTGACACTCGAGTGAAAACCACTCAAACAGGACGGTAGTTACATGACTAATTGTTATTGAGACCATTTTTTGTTTTTCTTCTGCAGACAATCTTCGAGATTGGTTCTACGTCAAAATCCACAGCGCAGTCTATCATGATGTCAAAAAGGTGCGTTTTATTAACGTCTAAATTCTCATTATAATGAAGATAATAATATAATACATACAAGTGATGAGAAAAAGCAGATGATCAACTAGGGGGTACGTCTTGATGTGTCACCATATTTTCTTCACTAACATTAAAAGAAATGTTTGCAGTCTGTCAGGAGAATTTGTGTTTAGACCCTGGAATCGACAGAGTACCTGTCTGAACCCGCAGTGATCACTCGAAAGTTCGCCCTGAACCCAACAGAAGCTTAACGTCAAGATATAAATTCTTTCTTGGTGCATTTATTGTAGTAGAAGTTGGGAGATATTCGACTTTATAGCCAGTTAGTTTCCTTCTAGCGATCAATCGCTTTTTCGCCATCAGCGGACCTTTGGGCGGAGCTTCCGTAAAGATATCCCCAGTGGGTGGTATTTAAATGTAGCAGTTTCTCTCGTGCAGCTTACCTAAGTCATATTCCATTTGTGGTATTGTTTACTCAATCACCTTAATTTTGATTCGTTCACAGAAAACGTCACAGCGACGTCATTCAAAGAGCACAGCGACTCAAACAGGACGACTCAGTGACTGACCTGGGGAGGGGTGCTGGCACCGGAAGTGAAGAACAGAACAATAGCGCAACTACGGACGAAATTAGGGTGTGTGTGAGTCGGCGTGTATCGATTATTAGTATAAATCTACTAGTGTTCTATCATGAATGCCGTTCTCTGATTGGCTACTCTACTCACTTTTGTAGATATTGAGTAGCCTAGCAGTGTGCGCTAGGGGGCCGCTTCTTTGCGTTTTCGAAGTGTCTGTGAAGAGGATTTAGATAAAGTTTTGAACGACTAGTAGATTTATAACAAAAAAAACTAGATTATTCGTTCTCAATTTCTATGCGTGATAGTTGACTCTGGACGCGCCCTCGTCAACTATCACACGATAGAAATCTTGAGCTCATAATCTAATTGCTAAATAGTTCCACGCGGGAATGCTTCATTGATATTCCGCTTCATCTGTGGAATACTGAAGGGTTATTTACTGAACAGCTATTTACGGTTATTTATTCTCAGTATTGGACTGGAACTACAATTGTAGCTTGCAGTGGACGATCATGCGGGGGAATACCACGAAAAAGGGATAAATGCAATTTCCATTTGAAAAGACTCCCCGCATTAGCCTTAGTTGCAAGCTAGTCCCAGTCAAATACCGAGAATACAAATATTGTCTATTGTTTAGTGGAGGGCCGTCGGAGCATTCGCTTAGTAATTCTTGTATCACTGCAGAAATGTTTTACCAGAACCGTCTATCAGATGCATCAGTTTCTGGAATTTTTTTTGTACATAAACTAAAGCAATGAGACAACTTGATTTACACGGGTCATTAATTGTTGCACACTACTGCTGTCTACCACACACTGTCTTTATAAATGTAGGGATCATTTCAAGTTATTTAGAGCGTTTTTCAATTGAGTGTCGTAAAAACAAAACCAATGTAATCACTTTAGCCAATCACGAAGGTCGCAGGCAATCCAGTGAACCAATCAAAGCTCGAAGTAATTACATGTAGCCTACGCAAAGCGCGGGAAAACGTGTGTGAGTGAGTCACGACTGGTTTTTGGGTTGACTTCTGATTGGATGAAAAAGTGGCACGAGTTGTTCAAGGCAATCGTGTAGCGTAGTTGATGCAAAACCAATTACTTTTCGACATTCGAATGAAAACCACTCTATGGCAGTCATAGCAAATGTAAGCATGTAAGCTCCCAGTGAAACGCTTATATTGTTCTTTTTCAGGGAGTCTTCGCCACCGTGTTCGATCCAAGCCAGAAAAAGAAGAGAAAGAAATCAAAGTCCGATCCTCAAGGTAATTGTTAAGTGTCAGCTAAATACATCACTCCCGCAATATCTTTACTTCTCATGCCTATCTTTGGTTAGCAGTGGTATAATTGGAACTGAGTTTAATCTTTAAATATCTTTTTGTCGTTTTCAATGTGTTTGAGTCTCTGTTCTTCTCTTAGGTTTTTCCATGAAGAATTTCAGAGACGAGAACTACATTCCCCATACCGCCTCGGATCATTACGGCGAGAGAGGCCTGGGGTAAGTTTGGATGGGTGTACAAACAATTTAAGCTACTGACTTGTTCTTTTTTACTCGCTTTCGATGGCAGATCCAGACATAGTCTTCACGGTTATCTTCAGTTATTTTCTCTACCAACTTGTCTGAAACTTGTTGAGGTTTAGTCAGAAATGAGATGCTTGACAAAGTTGTAAAGCAAGTTCTTATGAGCTATGAGCGACTCTATGATCGTGTTCGGCCTGGCGCTCGAGCCACTGAGCTACAAAGAGGATTGTGGTGAACTAGACCATTTACTAGGTTTTAAGGTTAAGTAACAAGCGTCCACTAGAGTATGCTGTAGTGCACAGGCTCAATAAAAACGTCCTATGTGGAGACGGGGAAAGATTACTGCTACATTTTAAGCTCGGTAGATGAAACGAGAAGTAGAGCATGTAATTTCGGTTGCCACGTTCTCGGGACAATGTGGTATCGTTTCATGGTTTCGCATTTCGTTTGTGTTTTTAGGCTTGGTTTGAAGTCGTTTGAGAAGGATGTATCAGGTGCTGTGATGGACATCCAAGCTGACGAAGAAGAAGGAATGAGACAAGCCAAGTCGCTCAAAAAATGGTACAAGAAAACTAAGCTACTTTCAACCTCGTTCCCAGGCTTTCTCTCCTTTACCTCCTTAGTGTCGTTGAGGGAAGGTAAAGGAGAGAGAGCCTGGGGACGAGGTTGAGTCACTGTATAGTGTTTTCACATGACGTCACGAAAGCCATATTGGTGTCCCAAAAAACGGCGGCCATGTTGGTGTCCCAAACCAATTCTGTGGGAGTTCAACTCTTTTCTTATGTAAACACTTTTGTTCCAATAAATATTCATCGCTCCTGGCCACGTGAGTGAAAACGCTCTTACCTCCATGAGCGCCTTGCCTGAATTACGTCCCCTCTAAGATGTAATGGCCGCGATGTTTGTAAATGACGGTTTGGTTTTCGTTTTTTAGGGATCGTAAGAGGAAAAATTATGTTGGAGAAGATGGTAACGTGAAAAAACTCAGAACAGAGAGCGGCGTGCGGATCCCAGCAACCTACAAGAAAAATATGTATCCTGTAGACATAATCATAAAAAAATCTTGAAACTCATCTTTCCATCTGTACTAAATAGACAGGTCACCCGCTACCCTGTTACTTTTGTAGTCACGCAACAATAATGGTAATGTGGATCGTTGCGTGACGGCCCAAATAACGGCTTGCAGCTACAGTACTCTTCTTCGCTTTTCCTCGCTTTTTTCTCACACCAGAAAAAAACTTGTAGTCTCTACACAGAAAAGCTACATCTCTCGCTTAGTGTTTGCATAGCCAGGTGAAAACATTCAAGTGGTAAGAAAAGAAAGATGTTAGTTAACACTTGCATCAAGCCAAAGTGTCCCCAAACCACTAGAGCTTATCCCGGTGTCCAAAGCATCAATTGGCTAGTGGTGTTTCTAGCCCCCTCCCCTCGGATGAAATGCTTGTCCATCACAGGGTTACCTCTTTCCAGCAGAAAATTCACAGCTACCGTCTTCTTCACGTAGGTATGGTAGAGAGAGGTACAGTGAGTGTTAAGTGTCTTGCGCAAGAGCACAGTCAGCTAGCCGGGGAACTAAGTACCGTTGTCGATAAATCTTCGTAAGGCACTCGGAAAGGGTCGCAGTAGTTATTAGCCAATCAAAACCTAGCTCGAACACTTCCGAGCACTCCGAAGACATGGCGTCAGTATGGCACAACGACGACGCGTCAAGTTTCTTTGGAATTTCGGTGTTGAAAACCTAAAGCTCGTGCATTCCTCTGAGAAGGCAATTCCCTCGAAATGGTGCTTGTTCTTCTGACTGCCATGTCACCCTTAAAATTTTACTTCAATAATATTTGAAAAAAAACGTGCCAGGAGGTTATTGATCTTTCGCTGATAGTATTTATAACATAAGTGATAAAATGTGTTAGCTGATGGTCATCAGAATGTTGAGTAGCACATCACGCATTCGTTTCAGTGTTTTCTTTGACTACTGAAACTTAGATACCAAGACTGGTTACGAAGAAATAAGATGGACGTTCCCGGATCAGAAGATCGCGAGGAGAATGGAACGAGGCCAGGTCACAAAAAGAACAGAAAAGGTAACAGACAACTTTGATTGTTTTATTTGTCAAGACGAATTATAACCTCGGAAAAAATTATTATGAGGAGAAAATCAGTCTTCAACATTATCAGTCCACCGCATTAGCTTGCCCCCTTCTCTCTAAGAAGTTTCCTCTGATAATCTTGAGTGTCGAAAGTAATCAGGCAATTACTTTGGTTTTGGTTTTGGTTTTACTCCGATTTGAGATTGGCTGAATAGTCTAATTGGTAAGTAATTGGTTTGGTTTTGGGACACTCAATTTAAAACCGCTCTTTTTTTCAAGAATTAACGAGTTTCACTGCAAGAGAAGTTGAATTTTATCATGTTCTTTATCTGTTGTTTCTTTGCTTTAGGTAAAGGCGGGAAAAGCTTTCCTCCCAAAGGTAAAGGTTTTGGCGGGAAAGGCGCTAAACCGCGTGGAAACGAACTGAAATCCAAGGACCAGATACTGAAGGCTCGGCACAGAAAGGAAACTACTATGCAACGGCAAAATAAAGGAAAACTAAAAGGAAAAAGGGGCAGAGGAAAACCAAGTAGAAGAAAGTGAACTGAAATCAGTCCGAGGGGGTAACGCCGAGTAGCGCCTGTTTCGGTTAACACTTAGCCTCGGGCTGTTTTCGGCCCGAAGTGTTCCGATTCTTACTGGCCAATCAGAAAACAACACGATGACTCCGAACTTTGTTGCGTCTTGTTACCGCCGTCTAAGCACGTCATATTTCATTCCATAC